AAAAGTATAGGTATATGATATAGGTTCTATTCCTAAACTGTTGTCAAAGTAATTGGAAACATACTCAGGATGTGATCCTCTTCAAACATTTTATAATCAGCTTTGATCCATTTTCAACAACTCCTTTCTTCATCAAAAGATAAAATTAAAATTTGAAAAGTACTGGCTCAGCAAAAGCATAAAAATATCTTCTAGTAATCTACGATCGCTTAACCACAGTAAAAAAATTCACAAATAACACAGCATTCCATAACTATGTCAAAAAATACAAAAACATCTATAAAAAACTGATTAACTATGCAAAATGTAATTTTTATCAAAAAAAGATCACACAAGCAAGTAATAAAGCTGAGAGACTGAAAGAAATACTCTCAAGCGAATATTTGAACTTCGGTAATATGATAAGCTCCAAACAATTTGGATTTCAGTCAAACGAAAATACTCATGATGCCATATTTTCATTTTTATATGAAGTGTATAGTAACATTAATAGATGGGAGATCACAGCAGCAGTCCTTTGCAATTTTTCTAAAGCTTTTGACTATGTTGATCACGAGATTCTGGTCAGAAAACTTTATCTCTATGGTATTGAGGGTATTACTCATAAATGGTTTGCATCTCATCTATCGGGTAGAAGTCAAAGGATTAAATATACAACAATATCTGACGTGTCTGACATATCTAACGAAGTACCACAAGGCTACAAAGTCTACAGAGGAGATGGATGTCGATTTTACAACTCCAACTGACCTTGTAAATTTATTTCAGGAGCGAGTCTACAGAGAAGATGGATGTCGAGTTTACGACTCCAACTGACCTTCCTGTGAATTCAGTTCAGGAGCGAGTCTACAGAGGAGATGGATGTCGAATTTACGACTCCAACGGACCTCCCTGTAAATTTAGTTCAGGAGCGAGAGCTGAGGCGTACGCAGAATCTGTTTCAGGTGAGGGAACAAACCCTTCATGAGCAGATTAGCAAACGTTTGCGCTCAAGTGATGATTCACCAAAATCAGAGGTGAAAAAGCCCTGCACGGCTGAATCTAAGGTATCGTCATGCCTTAGATTCAGCCGTGAAAAAAACCTCAAATGGGAAGGGGTCGGCTTCGTTAAGAAGCTGGGTTTATTTGGCCGAATGTGAATGGGTGTGAGCCACAATAATAACCTAACCACAAAACTCAGTACTTGGACCTACCTTATTTCTACTCTATATCAACGACTTGACTACCATCGATATAGAGGGTAATTATACTTTATTTGCCGACGACACTACAATATTATGGCACAAAACCAACACTAATGATCCATATAATTCCATCTGCTCTGATATTTCCAAACTCTCGGATTAGTGTAATGCAAATTCATTAGCTCTCAATGTCTCAAAAAACAAAGTTTTATCCTTCAAATTCGAATGTGATTAAAAACACATCGTGCAACAAATTTCTTGGGTTATTAATTGATAATAAGTTAAAGTTTGAGGACCACATACTATCACTTAACAAAAAACTTTCATCTGGATGTTATGCTGTAAAAATAACTTCTAACGAACTAGGACAACTGCAGGTAAAACTATCTATTACTCATAAGTAGAATCACATCTAGTCACAACTAAAGATTTTTTTATCGAGATGCCCAATTATAGTCTGCAAGAATTTTATGACGAAATTTATATATTTTTGTGGGTATGTTATTTTGTTTATATTGTGTTTAACCAATGTTTTTCAAAAAATTTTACATTCAAAATTTTTATTTTTCATTTTTATGGTAGGATTCTAGATATTTTTATTAATCTACTAGCTTATACTCTGGTTTCATGTACTTGACTATGTTTTGTTTTTCTCAAAAAAGCAATGTTCACCAAAGCTTTGTTAATAAGAGTTCCTCTTTGGATAATAAAGCATATTTATTATTATTATTATTATTATTTTTGTTCCCCGTAGTGTGCGCTGGTCAGGCCCTATCCCCCGAAGCCCCGATACATTCGGGAGAGCGCGCCAGCATCATCAACCAATGACCACTCTCCACACCGTGGGGAAAGTGATCATTGGGTCCGAGAATCATGTGCTCAGGCTTATCAGCTTACATGAGCCTGAGGGTGGGAAACGAATAGTTCCAATAAATTCGGCACTTCTTGTTCACCACAACGGATTCAATATCCCCTGGAGCGTAGGGCAACACCGGTGTTTCGTCAATACCGTAAGAGTGCCGTAGATGGTAATATAGCACTCGTAGGGCCGCGTTATGTCGATGGATATAGTCACAGACTGCATATGCTGGACATGCTGATACCAAGCGCATTAGGGTCTCGAGCGCCTCGCGGCAGGCCCTGCACCTTGTGTCAGGAACCTCTATACCCATCACGCGACTGCGGTAGACTAAGGTGTTGAAGACACCATCCTGGCAAGCCATGATGAACCCCTCAGTTTCCGACTTCAGTCCACTCGACCTGAGAAAAGCGAAAGTCAGGCGCTTTGATAAGCCTAAGTCTCCAATGTTATTGAAGAAGACCCCATGCATTGGCTTATCCTTGTGTTTCCGCAGAAGTAAGGTGATCTCTGCGGCTTTTATCTGAGCTTTCTGCTGAACAGATTCCAACTCGGTGACAGAGTTGTGATCACCTCGTTCAGTGTCGAAAAATATACCGAGTTCATCAGCTGCCCGGACAGCTGACCTAAAGAGAAATGCTTCAATTCCTGGTCTCTCATGGTCACGGACCATGCAGAGAAAGGGGTCCTAACTCCTGACGACTCTACAGGCTGTATCCAACATCATTCTGTCATGTAGACACTCCAAACTCGGAAGTCCACGTATTATAAGTTTAACCGTAGTTTGTGCTGGTCAGGCCCTATCCCCCGAAGTCCCGATTCCGTCGGGAGGGCGCGCTAGCATTACCAACTTACCCCACTCTGTGGGGTAAGTGATCAGTGGATCCGAGAATCATGTGCCCTGATCAAGCGCAGTGAGCCAAGAATGTCGATATTGTATTTGTTTTTTCTCCTCTTGTCGGACGATATTCGTCTCATTAAGAGCTGAAAACTCCACGACAAATATCGTCTTGCTCTGGTGGTGGTCAAGAAGGACTACATCAGGTTTATAAGCTTGTATGAGCCTGAGGGTGGGGAACGAATAGTTCCAATAAATTCGGCACATCTTGTTCTCCACAACGATTTCTATATCCCCCGGAGCGTAGGGCAACACCGGTGTCCCGTCAATACCGTAAGAGTATCGTAGATGGTAATATAGCACTCTTAGGGCCGCGTTATATCGATGGATATAGGCTGAGACCGCATATGCTGAACATGCTGATAGCAAGTGCATTTGGGTCTCGGGCACCTCGCGGCGGGCCCTGCATCTTGTTTCAGGAACCTCTATATCCATCACGCGACTGCGGTAGACTGAGGTGTTGAAGACATCATCCTGGCAATCCATGATGAACCCCTCAATTTCCGACTTCAGCCCACTCGAACAGAGGAAAGCGAAAGTCAGACGCTTTAATAAGCCAAGGTCTTCAATGTTATTGAAGCATTGGCTCATCCTTGTGTTTCCGCAGAAGTGAGATGATCTCTGTGGCTTTTATATGAGTTTTTTGCTGAACGGGTTCCAACTCGGTGACAGAGTTGTGGTCACCTCGTTCAGTGTCAAAAACTAAACGAAGTTCATAAGCTGCTCGGGCAGCTGCCCTGAAGAGAAATGCTCCAGTTCCTGCTCTCTCATGGTCACGGACCATGCAGAAAAGGGGATCCGAACCCCTGACGACTTTACAGGCTATATCCAGTACCATTCTGCCATGTAGACACTCCAAACTCGAAAGTCCACGACCTCCCTGTTGTCGGGGGAAATACTCCCGTGGATGCATTTGGATTTGGGATGCAAACTCCTATAGAGATGCATCATTTTTCGGGTCTTTACGTCGAGTTGATACAGCTCCTCCCGGGGGTGCCACAGTTACACCCTGGAGTATTTCTGAGCGCAATAGATTATGTCAATAGTGAGATGCAGAAGAGAAGGGAACTGAGGAAATAGCCCTGAAAGTGATTCACCCCCTTTGGGCTCTGGCTTGACCAGATGTTATGGTGAAGCCAGTTCGCCAGAGTGGTATCAGTTGTTTAATGTATCTCACTATTTTGTCGGATACCGCAAGGCATCTGAGCAAATTCAAGATGAGCTCATGCTATTATGTATCAAATGCCTTACGGTAATCGATCCAGGCCATATAGAGGTTATGCTTGTATTGTATCGAGTCCTGCGTTACACATCTGTCGATGAGCAGATTCTCTTTACATCCAGCGACTGCTCTCTCCGACCCTCTCTGCTCATATATCCGTTCGAACACTCGGTCAACTGCGGTGAGTATTCGGGTTTATAAGATGCTTGTAAACAACTTATAACACGAATTCAAGCATGTTATCGGTCTGTTATTCTTAGAAATCGATGAATCTCCGCTTTTGGGGATGAAAACGTCCGGCCCTCGACAAACCAATCTGGAATCGGCTGCTCTCCGTCCATCCATGAGTTGAAAACTCTGGCCAGATGGCGGTGGATACTTGTTAGTTTTTTCCACCAATATGTGTTCAGTCCGTCTGGGCCTGGAACAGCAAAGTTCTTGGAACGCACAAGTGCTCTTCGAACGTCATCCGGGGTTATTAATATTACTATTATTATTAATGTCAAAGAGTACTCATCAAATGTATTGGTGACTGAAATCTAGCTCTGCCTCAAAAATAAACGTGTAAAACATTTTACGTAGTTTTCTCCTCGAAAGTTTTTTATTTTTGAGTTTCTTAAACAGATGTCGAAAAAGATTTGAAATATGTCAAAATATTTTAATATGTCAAATGTGTCGAATACGGTCCCTTTCCAAAAATGTTTTTGTATGGTTTTCACCAAATAAAGGACAATAGAAAAATTTATTCCACCACAGGATGTGATTTTTATTCATTGCTCCTCTCTTCATGTCATAATTTCATCCACTGATGATTAATTTGGGTTTTTCGTTTTTCAGTTCCATTCCATACAGTAGTGTGTAGATTTTCAGAACAGGGCAATTGTAATGATAAGTTTTACATTATTGATAATGTAGTGAAAGTGAGGAATGGTAAAGATATCGACAGAGACAACCATGAAAAAAACTTTACCTGTTCCATAAATTGTGAAGATAATCAAATACGTAAGTTCATTCATATTTCATTTCAGGTGAACACAAGGATGTTTTTTTTACATCGGATAATACTAGTTTTAAGTCATATAAAAAAATGCAACGTTCAGTATGAAAATGAAAAAGATCAGTTGTTTTCTCCAAACAATTCAAACTCCCAAAAAAGTCATTCTATTTCAACAATTTCCAGTTCTATCGAAAGATGTATTATTGAAGTTCTTTGAGCTATTTAAAAAGTGGGAGTTACTTGAAATGTATTTATTATATTCGCTTTTTGAAAGATAACTCCATGTTGAAAAATACTACTTACGTGACTACTACTAATTTCTTGACTTGATACAAAACTTATAAAAATGCGATCGCCCGTTTGATCTCAAAGGTTTCATTAATAAGTGGAAAACGATATAACAAAGAGACAACCCGAATTGCAGAAGTATCAATTTCTGCTGATTCTGCTTACTTATATACTGACATCTATGACATCATCTACTCACTATATAATGACTCCGTTGATCAGAAAAAAGGTAACACATTACAACAACTGTTGAAATTTTCTAATAGTATATTCTAAATGGACACTTTTGCAATGAAAGTTTGAAAGACAAATAATTAGTTACAAAAAATGTATTTGACATTTTTATAATGAAATTATTGTTTGGGTCTCAGTTATATTGAACAGTGAGAGTGTCTAAACATATTTCATGAAATGATTACAGACACTTCCATTATATTATACATTTTAGAATTCACTAACATATTGGTTTGAAATAGATTTGGATTATTTCTAATATTCCATCAAACTTGTCTTCAAATTCTTCAAGTTTATGTTATCTGCAATTCCTTCATGTGGATCTTACCTCTAGACCTTATTCTAAACGACACCTTGTATACTCAGAGTAATTATGTATTGTGACACTGCGCACCATGACCATTACCTATGCCTATGACAATCGAGCTAACCCGCCACTGATAAGACAGAGAACAGCATGGGAGACGTCACCGAAGATGATTCGGTAGAATATACTCGAGCCCTACAGAAACTGTGATATCTCAGTGAATATTTATTCAATTTAACCGAAATCAGCGTCATTTGAGTCAATGCACTTCTGCTAACGTAACACAAGTTGATTAATTCTGTCAGCTCGGAATTCGATGAAGTCGACGAAGGCCATTTTTGCCTGGTCGTGATTGGCGAAGATTCTACCAGTGAGAAAGTTGTTTGAAAAGATGGTAGTCGGTTGGCGAGAGGTCTGAGGACTATGGTGTGTAAGGCAGAACTTCGACGCTGAATTCGTTTCATTTTTGGACATCTATTTGTGAAAAGTGCAGACGGGCGTTGTCATGGAGCAGGATTGAACCTCTTTTTGTTGACTAGTAATGGCTGCTGTAGACGCAATTTTGTGTACATTTCATCGATTTGTTCACAGTAGGACTCTGCTATGATGGTTTGGCCCGGTTGCAGAAAGTTATAGTGAATCACACCAGCCGCTCACCACCATAGAGTAACCATGGTTTTTTTTATAGTGGTTTTTCGCCTTTAGGAAGTGCCTGGGTGGCTCATCGGTGTCCAAACATCGCCATGAAGTCTCCTGTCGTCATAAAGGAACCACGTGACGATCCAATCCAAAAAAGGTTTGTTTTGGTTGCGCAAAAGCAAAGAAGAACACACCTCGAAACGTGACAATTTCTGTCGCTCGTTCAAATCGTGGAGCTCCCATTTCTTTAGCATTTCGACCTTTCTAATACGTTTTAAACCATCAAAAACTACGTGGGAGCTGACGCCCAGTTCTCCGCCACAAATCCTCGTCGCCTGGTTGACCACTTCGGGACTCATCTTCGAGGCAAATCTCCGGAAAGAAATGTCGCAAGCCAACGTCGAACAGTGCGTTCATTAAAACTATTATTGTCAGGTGTCTGGTTAATTTTTCGGACTGTGTCGGCAGCGCTTTGGTTCAATTTAAATTCGTAGAGAAAAATTGGCTGAAAATCGATCAACGACATCATATTGTAATAAGCTGAAAAAAGGCAAGAAATCGAAATTCGTAAAAAAAATGTATTACAGTGCAAAATTCTCCACCGATCAATATTTATACCACGACACAGTTTAATAACTATTTATTGAGATATGGAGCTACAAAAATATATGACATTGAAACCGATAAAACTTTTGAAATAGGTAACCTATTATCGAGAAACTAGGAAAGCAGTACCTATAGGTATGAATCGGATCGCAGAGGCAAACATTCTGTGAACAGGCAGTTGTATCATTCAGTTTTGAATAAGAGGGCAGAATTTGAAAGCGAGGAAAGCGATATAGTGCGATTGAGCTGTTGAGTTATTCAATGTACCTATTTCTCATGATTAAATCAAGATATTAAACTTGAATAAACATACTACTTATCATTTGTTTATCATTAAACCACGCCTAGACGAAATTTTGAGAAATCCCAAGTTTGTAATATTTTACTCCACTCATTGCCTAATAGTATTGAAATCATTTCATTCAACTGCTACTAGGCTTCATGATAATTGAATGTATTTAGCCGAGACATATTGAAATTTACGAGTTTCAATATTACTATTAGAATAATCAACGATGAAAGTTGGTGAAGAATAAATATACCATTCTTTGTACAACGTAACTATTGAAATGGAACAAAGTGTTCAATAATACTAAAAAATTATATTGACTCTGTTGAGATTTCTAAGTAATTGAAAATTAATTTTTTCAGGTTGGAGATCAGAAGGAGTTAATTCCAAATCTTCAAACTTCACAATTATTGTTGACGATAAGAACGACTACATTCCTGAACTTACTACGCCAAATATAGTGACGTCTGAAAGTAAAAAACAGGTATATTTTCAGAACAAGTTGGAAGTGATCAGGCACATGGAAAAATACTGATTTATAGTAACCAATAATAGTTACATTATAGTTCTAGAGACGATAACAAGTTATCTGAGAACTCAGTGGCTATCTGAGTGGAGCGAAGTTGGGTTTTGAGCTCTGCTATCCTTTGAATGGGTGCCTGATTCTTGGGCGAACTTTCTACGCGGTATCACTAGGAATCAAACATTAAACGTGTTGTTGATCATTGCTTGAACGCATTTCAATTTTCAAGTGTTTACTATACACAATTCCAACACTTGATGATGAATTTTGAAATATTTATTGCTTTAACGATATGTTCTAGATATACATGATGGCCAAACAGAAACAGCATAGAATCCTTTCACATCCTCTTAACATTAGCCTTCGAATTTCGAAATCAATATAACAGTTTTTAAAAAAAATATATATCACCGTCACCTTTTATCCAGGTGTTCTAAGACGGTCAGTTTACCGTGCTTGTTCTTGGAAATATTTTCCTAGTACTTTCTGTTATTTTCTGGTCCATTTCTCCGGCCCCATTACCAAGAATTTCAATGCAGGGTCCACAAAGGGTCGTCCTTCGAGAGTCCTAGACATAGGCTTTCATGACCGAAATCACGACAAGAAAAAATAAAATACGGGCTAGTAGGTCGCAGTGAAAAGGAACTTAAAATACCAAACGTTTCATATGCTACTGCGGTAGACGTCTTCAGTGCATTGACATTAAAATATTGTTCTTTTTCCCCTAGAATAAACATCGACATCTTAATTGTTATTACTATTATTATTACTATCATTATTATCACAATATTACTGAAAAAGTATGCCGCAGTAGCAAATAAAACATTCGGTTTAAAATATTTTTTTAGCACAGCCTAATAACCCAAAATTTATTTTTTCTTCCAAGTGCATTCTGATTGTTAAAGAAATTATTCACGCGCTGATTCCGTTGAAGCCTAAAAGTAATAGTTTTGCCAATTACAAAACTACATACTCTTCTGCCTGGAAATCGTATGTATATTAAGCAAGCGGGTAGTTGTGAAGTTTCTACCGGCACCGTATATTTCAGATCAGATCAGATTTAGTGACATATATCACGTTAACTGGTTTTATGTTCGTACCTCCTCATATCCCAAAATGTCCGTTTTTTTCTCATCTTTATAGCCTCATTATGGTGAGTTTTTCAGTCTAAATTGATTTAAATGCTGATGGTTTTCACACCGTGCCTAGGCGCTCAGTTTTAGCGGTCATCAGTAGTCTCATCTTTGACCACCAAACCCCAAAGTTATTCATGAGTTTAACCACTATCGAATCTAACCAATGCTACATGCTTTTTTTCAACTTTCTTGTGTTTCCATAAATGCATCTGGGCAGCTTCAGTACTTCACCGCAGGTGAAGTTTTTGAGATATTCGTAAAACGTGAATCCCTTTTTTTATTTTTTCATCGCAAATTGGCTCAAATTGTTAATTATTGTGTGTTAAATTACGAATCGAATAATCTCTATCCTCAAAGAAGGCGAAAGTTATGTGAAATGGCACTAATGAACTAGAATTATAGGCCTATATTCATTCTATGGTTCATCTTCAGCAGCAATTGACGTTTTGATTGCTTGAAAAGACTACTGAAAAATATAATAGGACTTGAAAGTACACAGACACATGTGAATACCTTCCTATATATGAAGAGTGTGTGTTTGTGGAGTTGCTTGCGGACTTTGTCTGCAGGTGGCGCAGTGGTACATCCTACTGAATTAACTGTAGATAAAGCTTATGACTAAATGGAATCAATTTAGTTTGTTCGGTATATTCAGACGTTTCACTTCGTCTGAAATGACCTTCCGGTACTGACTAGGAGCTAGAACAACGAAACTATCGGTGGTCGTCCCGACCGAATGAAACTAATTTCATGTATAAGAAGTTACTTGCAATGAATTTTACAAATGTAAGACGTCGCTCAGGTGATGGTTCCTCTTCAGTTTTCTGCACAGCACTAGCTAGCTGGCTTATTTATTGTTTTTCCGTCGGGTATCTGCCACACGTACCAACAGAATCGTAGGGTTCACATAGGAGGCAAGGGTATGGTGTTTTCACCTAAACTTAAGCATGTCATATGCACTTCTCCGGAATTTGTTTATTATTCTGGCTTCCAACTTGGCGTATGTGTTTGTGAAGTTGCTTTCGGACTTTGTCTGCAGGTAGCGCACTGGTACATCTAACTGAATCAACTTCAGACAGAGCTTATGACTAGTTGGAATCAATTTTGTTTAAGATATTCAGATATTTCATTCCTTCTGAAATGACCCATCTGGTACTGACAAAGATCTAGTTCTCTCAAACCGGTCTGTCGGTGGTCATCCAAACCAATAAAAATCCATTTCAGCTTTTCATGTATAGAAATTTTCTTGCGACGAATTTCCCAAATGGAAGAGGTTGCACAGGTGCCTGATGGCTCACATGAGACGTAAAGGCTGGCATTTTCACTCGTACTTGGGCATATAATATGTACCTCTGCGGTAGAGGTAGAATCTTTTATTCCATTATTTCGTCAAAAAAGAGATTATGATACCAATAAATATAAGTTTTCCTGAAATGAGTGAGATTCAGAGTAATTTTACAAAACAGAATAAATTATGTATGAAAAATATTAAAACCTATTTCGAAATGAACCAATTGATCAACATTTATCTACAGCAACTGTAACTGAATTGATTTTAAACATATTTTGAGAGCTCATTTTTCATCCTCAGTTTTTATGAATATGTAGAAAACTTCAAGAGGTTTGTAAGAAATAATAACCTTATTATATATATTTTTTTCAGGGTGACCTTATCATCATGATTATCGGCAAAGATATGGATGATGGTAAAAATGCCGATATCAATTTTACCCTAACGTCGGTAATCAATGTTGATGCCAATAGCAAAAATAAAGATATAACATCATATTTCGATTTATATATTGACGAAAGTGATTATTTGATAAACCTTACCCATAAACAGGCACATCTTATTGCCAAGGATGATCTGATAGGACTTTATGGAAAATTTAATGTCAATATAACAGTAAGTATTGCAGTATAATTTTCAACTTGACATCCCAACTCAGAAAGTAGGATCCAAGTTTTTTTTCACTCATGCATATCTAGAATGTTGGGTAGGAGAATAAAAATAATTTTGAAGTATTTCTATCAATTTCACTTGAAATATATTCCACGAAAAAGAGTACTTTTTCTGACTCACGTTACTACTCTCTTGATATAGAGAATATGGAGATATTGATTCAGAGATTGAAGAGTACTGGCGATGGAATTGCTTTCTTATTATTTGATACAAGTAAATGTGGGGAAAATGTACAAAGTCCTCATCAATCTATAAGTTTCCCCGAATTTTAGTAATTCATTTGAAAAGATTCTCTCCGACGGAAAGGTTCAGAGGCAAATTGAATGTTTTCATTGACTTTTCTTCAGATGGATTAGATATGAGCAGTTATGCAGCAGACAATGTGGCTCTTTGTCATTATAATCTATATACACTTTCAAATCACAGTGGGACTACTTACAACGGACATTACACAGCATATTGCAGACACCCATATAGTGGCACGTAGCATGAATTCAACGGTTCACACGTGTTCCCAATTTCGCCAAAATCACTTGTGAGCAATGAGGCATATGTCCTCTTTTATGAACAGAAGGGAACGAAGCAGCACCTTTGATGTGTTTTTTTTCTTTCCTTTTTTTTATAATCTTAGTTCTTTAAATTGATTTGTATTTCATGATTGTTCCAAATTTCATTATTTATTGTTCAAAATTAAACTCAACTTTTGTTAAAAAAAAAAGTAAATGTAGAAGGTTGGAATTACCATTGTAGTTATTTCATATGCAGCACAAAAGTAGATGAAAATTATGAATTTTGGTTCAACCTTTATTTTGACAATATTGAAGAAAGTTGATCTGAAATATAAATATATTTTAAATGTGCAATTGCAAAAATTAAAAAAAAATTCTCGGTACTTACCTCTAGAATAACAACGAACATTCACTGAAAATAATTATTATTTTTTTTCAGAAAAAGTTTTATTAAAACAACGATAAAAATAAAATAAAAACAACAATAACAATTAATTGGCGCTCCGGGCCGACTTCATTGATTCCAGTGGCGCATTTGCTTTTTCAGCTGCAGGAAAACCCTACATTTTGTTTTATGGGAGAGAGGACATTGTTAGATCCAGATCTTCAGATGATGTGGTGCTGCAGGTTTTTCCGGGCTTTCCTGCAGCTGAAAATAATTGTGCATATAATATAGGATGCACTGACAAAAACATGTTCTGTAACGACCGTAAAACTCATTTGAATTAGATGGTAGAAATATTGGTAAAGAACAACAAGGCCTAATTTGATATAGCAAATTGATGCAGTTGCATTAGTAAACATCATATTCAATTCTGATCAACTTTTTTCAATAACAATTATCGATACTGCTTTTTTCAGAAAGAAATAGTACTATACTTTCGAACAGAATTTGTATTTTTTGACAAACCTCATTTACAACTGAAAGAATTTGGTAACCGATAGTTGCATTTATAGTTTCAATTCTTGAAGAACATGTTATTAAGAATAACTTTTATCCCTGAAATAAACCAGTTTTTCAAATCAATTCGACTTATACAAGACGCTCAACCGACACATTTATGGAATGGACCTATAGAGACACGGTATTGGACGGTTCAACCAACATCTCAATAGTACAGTGAGTTGCCGTTCTCAGACATGAAGGTGACGAAGACTAACGAATGCGAAACGTCTGTTCATCGAACACTAACTTTCCTGATACAATTTCTGAATTTTGAATACAATCAACAAGTAACTACAAAAAAGCGTTCTCGAATGCTGATTGAACAAGACTCTACTTTTTGCAACAGTAAGGAAATTCTAAATAAATAACTGGACCATCACCAGCAAAATAAATACTTTATGAAACTTCTAATACAAGCATTAGCATGAATGTGCCGAGCTTCAATCAGTGAAACTGGGAAACTATGCAAATGAAATAACGCCCAACGAAACTTAACTTTTGAATGATGAAAATATTTAAGAATATGCAATATTTGAAACGCTGAATCTCAATTTTTTCGAATGCAACAGCCCTATATTATGTATAAGTTTGAAAATGTCCTTATATGATGAAACTGCAATAAAGTTAGTTACAAATAAAAGTGGTAAAAACATAAAGTTTGAATTCTCTTTTCTTCACATGTATTATCATGTTCTGACATTAGCCTCGATAAAACTACATTAGTAACCGAATAATATCGGTGACATGTAAGATTTACAAAATTATGAGCATTATTTAAAAAATAATGATTATTTTTTAGGAAAAACTAGTTGATATGATTTTTCAATTGAGCTCAAGTGCGACTAACGTATAACATGAAACCGTTTCCTGAAAGAAATAATAAGACTGCCTAACATAAAAGAAAATTAGTTAACTATCTTTCTCACCAACACACAGTTTACATAAACTATATTCAATACTAGGAATCACCATTGCGATGTTAGACCTTGTTAACTCAAACGCTAAATGCACACACACCAATTTTGGACTGCCGATTTTATACCGGTCGTCCAAATTCCAATAGTGAACCACATGTGGGTACGGGACCTGGCACACACGCCGACCGGTGATCGGCGTCGATCACCGGTAAGCATGTGTGCAAGTTCCCGTTGCCACATGTGGCTCACTATTGGAATTTGGACAACCGGTATAAAATCGGCCGTCCACAATCGGTGTGTGTGCAATTAGCCTTAGCTCGCACAATTATCGACTTCTGAAGGTTGTTATTCGTAGGAGGGTGACAGGTGGTTAACGTAAATACAGAGTGTAAACTAACAAACATTTTCGTGATATCGGGAAATCGAGGAGGCTATCTCATGGACCACCTCTTCCTATCCATCTGCCGGATGGACTGTTGATTAGTGCGGTATGATGTAGTTAAGCTCTACATACCATATTCTGTTTTCAAGGTATTCTGGTAAGATGTTCGTCAGACGTGGCTGTGATAGAAAATGACATTGAAGAATATAGAATTGAAACTTACTGTTTTTCACCACTTTTTGTAACTAACGTTACTGCAGTTTATACTTTTTTTACTTATTATACTTATATATTAATGTATAAGTTTGAAAATATCCTTATAGGACGAAACTGGAGTAACGTTAGTTGCTGCACATTTTCAAATTTATACATTATACTTATACATTAATGTATACGTTTGAAAATGTCCTTATAGGACGAAACTGCAGTAACGTTAGTTACAAATAAAAGTGCTAAAAACATAGAAAGTTTCAATTCTCTTTTGTTCATTAAGATTTTCCACCACGTAGTAGGCTATATCTATCAATCTATTGAAAATGAAATTGCCTACACACCCGCTCTTTGAAACAAAAAAACTAATCAATTTTTTCACCCAAAATATTTTGTGACCAACTAGTTTGACCTAGTTCGCGGGTTTGTCGTTAAGTAGTAATGGAAATTGTGACAATTAGGTAACTTTTTTTTTTGTGAAAATTTGATTTGTTGACAATTAATAAATAATGAAAGATCATTTTCTGTTGAATTTTTTGTTGAGCTCAATGACAAAAATCTGATACTGAAAATGAAAATGAATCTGAAAATGATGATACTGGTCAATAAATTCCTGCATATAAGGTACGAATGCATTTCAATAACTTTCAGAATCATTTAGATTGTCTGCAGGCGAATATCAATTCCATTTAGTCAACTGATTTTCTACTTTGTTAGCGGTCTCGATTTTTTCATCGAATCGCTTTTTTTCGTGACTGCATTTTTTCAGGAAAGGCTTCATGGCACAGTCTAGTTGTCAATAAACAATATTTGTGGCTTGTGCTCCATATAAAAATAACGCCAAAAATACCTAAGAAAATAATAGTGGATATATTAACACATCTCATAACGATGTTATTGGTCTATCAAAACCTACCTCGATAAAACACTGATATCAGTAATCAAAATGAGTATGAATACTGTATCGAGGAGAAATACATACATCTGCGAGACTTACCTCTGTGAGGTATCTTTCATAAATGTCTGTCAGATATAATTCAATATCCAGTGTGGTATTAGCCAGGGAACTATTTATTTTCTGGTAGGCATTTACCAGAACCTACGGTGGAGGTAGTTAGCGGAGATGAATATTTTTAGATTTCATTTCCTAATATTTATTTTCTTATACTGATATCAGTGAAATTGTCATATTGATTGAGAATTTAAATAATACTAATAGTGTAAGAACATAAATTATAATAATGAATTTGTAGGAAATTGAAAACTTGGCAAAAGAGGGCTTCAATACACAGAGTGTTCCATTTGAAAAGTTGAGTGTTAGCGTTTCATATATATTGTGAAGTTTCCTTCATAAAGTGGACTCTTTGATATAGTGAATTTCTTTTCACTGTTGTCATTATTGTTGATGAAAATATGAATATGAATTATTAAAGTCCAACAATTCAATATTCTCAACTATTTTTCTAGAATGAATTCTAAATATTGTGGATACCATATGCAACATCGTAAGTCGAATTCATGTATGCATGCAAAATTGAGGTTGCCAATAAACGTTTTTCGTATTTTGGCTAGCAACCGCCCTTTAAACTTCCTCACACTAATATGAAGATAAACTGCAGATCATCCATTATATTCGTTGAAAAAGGCAGTGAAACAACATAGCACCACCTAGTAATGTGCTACCCAGGTTGACACACGACATTTCACTTCATAGGGTGGTATTTTCAGATATATAATGGATCAACTATCCTCTAGTGAGTGGTTACCTTTCTGCTGTTAGTTTATAATATTGTCAGAAAATACCGAATTGGCTTTCGACTAGATATTGTTAAATTATTCACTTCACTATCCGTCTAATACGTATGTGATGGTTTTGTCATAGAAGTTTGAAATTTCAATTCGGTATATCTCTCAAAACCCTATTCAACCGACCTTTCAGTTATAACTGCAAAAGACTACAGCTACAATTCGACTGTTTAAAAAAAAAATCTGTTTTTCCGTTAACCAGCTGTCGCACCCCTACGAATGACAACCCTCAGAAGTCGAAACTTGTGCGAGCTAAGGATTAACGAGGTCTTACCTTTTAACGTGTGATTCCTAACACTGTATGGATAACTATGTAGATATATGTTTCAAAATATGTTTTCAGCTCATATTTTTACTAACAGCAATTAGTTATAACTATTATGAGTAGATAAATGTATCTTTACTTGATTCCACTTTTTGTTTTTTTTTCCTAATTATTTTGAATTTTATTTCAGCTCGCCGATAGAGGAGACACTCCTAATATCCAGTCATACACGAAAACTTTGACGATAATGAAATTCAATTTTGCGTCACCACGTATTATTTCTCCAGTCGATTCGAATTTCACTCTTTTTTCAGTAAGTATTTTGGGATATGACTTTTTCGATAGATTTCATTTTTACTATTGTCGGACAGTTGTCATAGATAATGGTTCTAAAATGTTCACAATGAATTTTATTCAAGACGCATTTCGCTTCACGGTTGGTTCATCAGTTAGACTGGTACATCAAACTATTCAACAGTGTCTTTTATATAACAGTAAATAATGACAAAACTCATCAGATAAATGATTGAATCTGACAACACAGGTAGATTCTGAAAAAACAATCGAATATTTAAGTAACACTTTATTGTTAGATTTCCAGTGAACAATTTACAAAACCGCAACACGTATCTCGCTATCTAATACTTAGGTTCCTCAAGCGTTTTCATTGTGTCACAGAAAACAGTGAATTTATGAATATGTTGATTACTGGGATTTTATGAAAACAGGTTCAATAATAGTGAATGAATAATTTCTTGTTGGTCGTTTATTGATTTCCAAAGATTCTAGAAGGTTTAATTTTTGTCTTTTATTATCTGTATGTAATATGTCGTAGTCCAGTGGTCGCCAACCTGTCGATCGCGAGCTACCGGTAGCTCGCGGAGGCAATTCTGGTAACTCTCACAACGATTTTAATTTAAAAAATACAAACTGCAAAAATCAGAGAAGCTTTCCAAAATTCCACAAAAAATCTAATTGTCATGATATTAAACATAAACAGCGGCAATGTTGCGGTGAGCGATCTGCCGCTGACGCCATCAAGCTAGAATCGGCTAGAACCGATCAGCCGGACCAGCGCGTTAGTGTTCGAGAACGATCTGGATTGCTTTGAACGGGATAAATACGCACGGCGCGGCGACATTGCGTTTAGTTTTAAATTGAACGCGTAACCAATGTCCAGCGGTTGGGTTAGTAGAGAACAACAAAAATAATATTATGGCAAGCAGTTGTAAGAAGGTAAAGACATATCACTTTCATTCGGAATGGAAAGAACAATACTTTTTAACAGAAGTTAAAGATAAAAATGTGTGTTTGTTATGTAATACTTCGGTCTCCGTTGCTAAAAAAGGAAATATTGAGAGACATCATAAAACTGTACATTCTAATTTTGAAAAATCATTCCCACTACATTCTGCCGCCAGAAAGGAGAAACTGAAACAGTTGAAAAGCAGTTAATTGGACAACAATCAATATTTTTAAGAACAGTCGACAAAAATAAGGCTGCAACTGCAACAATACAGTGATGAGACGTGTAGAAGTAATGAGTAATGATATTTTTTCACAGTTACGAACTGGCTTAGATAACTGTGTTTATTTTTCACTACAACTGGATGAATCAACAGATGTCGTTGACACTGCTCAGATGGCCGTGTTCGTCAGGATGGTTTTTAGTGATTTTACGATTAAAGAAGATCTTTTGAAGTTCATTCCACTGAAAGGACACACTACTGGACATGAGTTGTTTTCTCATTTAAAAAATATTAGTTTTTTCGAGAAAATTCCAATATCGAAAATGGTAGGCTTGACAACCGATGGCGCTCCAGCTATGGTGGGTTGTGATAAGGGTCTGGTGGCGTTATCTCGTAAAGATGAAACTTTTCCGCAATTTCTCTGTTTTCACTGTATTATCCATCAGCAAGCATTATGTGGAAATTTCCTGAAACTAAACAACGTTATGAAACTGGTGGTGAAAATTGTGAACGAGATTAGAGCTCAAGCGTTACAAAGAAGATTATTCAGAACTTTGGCCGATGAAGTTGACTGTCAATACGGGGACCTACTTCTTCACTCTGAAGTCCGATGGTTAAGTAGAGGACGGGTGCTGAAACGTTTCAATGATGTCCTATCTGGCATAGTTCAATTTTTCAAACAACGCGATGAACCAACTCCGGAACTAAAAAATTCAATCTGGCTTAGAGATTTTGGTTTTCTCGTGGACATTACATATAAATTAAACGAACTTAATTTGCAGCTTCAGGGAAGAGACAAAGAACTAGCGGAAATGATTTCTGATATAAAAGCATTTATCAAAAAGCTGGAGTTTTGGGAACAAAACCTAATTAACAGCGATGCCAAGCATTTTCCTATTCTTTCAGAAAAAATATCTCAAAATCCATTAGAACCCTATGACAACAAATATCATGTAGAAATAATTTCTACCTTGAAGAATTACTTCAAAAATCGTTTTAAGGATTTCAATGAAATGGCTTTAGTAGCGCAGTTTGTTGTTTCACCCTTTATGAAAATTGATATCCAACAGTTTGCAACTTGTCTTATGCAGAACTTTGGCGAAGACATCGCTGCAACAGAAATGGAAGTCATTGAGTTTCAAAATGATTTAGCCTTAAAATCGTTAGTCTCAAATACTGAATGTATCTGGCCTATTGTAAGTAAAGACAAATATTCAGTTCTATGCCGTGTTGCCTTGAAAGTGAAAGCATTATTTAGTTCAACCTATTTCTGTGAATCTTCTTTTTTCCAATATGAAGTTTATTAAGAACAAACATCGCAATCGACTTACAGATGAACATTTGGATAATTGAATTCGAATGGCTGCATCAAATTTACGTTGCGTTACATGGCTTCCGTGTGGGTAGCTCGCTGTTTATTCCAAAATTAACAAAGTAGCTCAACACATTGAAGAGGTTGGCGACCACTGTCGTAGTCAATGTTGAAATCGCAGTTATCCTCTAGAAGGTGTCAAGCATAGGTGGAAACAATTTTATTCAGCTCAAAACATAATTATTCGGATATTTTCGTTTTGTAATCTCTCTATATAAACTTTTGTACAGAATCCACGTGTTACTATCTTTATCCATTTTTGACTTGTTGTTCTTCATAACAATATGTCTACCCAAGGAGTTACCAGTCTGTTATGCAATATTATTGTTCCCTTCAATTAGAAGTCTTTTCATTTTATCTAAAGATTTTTCTGTATACAGGCTGTTTCTTTTATCATGTGGTAACATTACTATGCTATATAGATACGCAGACGATTCAATGGGGAAAAAAGATAACTGTCATCGGGAAAAATACAATGGTCGAAGAAAATTTACAGGGAATCTCGCCCTTCTTGAGTTATACCGGAAAAACCAAAAATGCTGTTTTTCGTTTTTTTCGAATGGAATTGTTATTTCGGAGAATACAAAAAAATGGAAAAGGAATATTTTATTGTATTCGAAGTGTACTATGACGATTTAATGATAAATATTCAATAAAACGTTTCGTGTCAACATGGCCACCATCATTTTTTTTTTAAATGCGGACCTGTCTTTTTTATTACAGATATTGATGAATCTATACATTCACAATCTGAGGGTATATCATATTTGGTATTTTTATAGCGTTTCATTTGAAATAACTACCATCATCAGTGATAACAATTTCAATTTCTTCAAAATATAATCCAGACAACCCAATAAATTCAACAGGTAGCAACAGGTGACACAATGAAAATTCGTACTTTCTCGTTTTGGAAATTTTTGTGTTGCCGTAATCCTTCTTTCAATGCTAATTTCTCCCTATTCAGTTATAATTCAATCCTGGAAGTAACGAAAATATCAGTTTTTGGTCAAAAATCGATTGTTGTATAATTTGGTATGATCAAATTGCATCTCAATTCATTTACCATCTTAAACGCGTAAGCTCTGCTTGGTTTATATGGCAGTAAAAATGAATGCGTTGTTGATATTTGTTATGAACTGTCAGACATTTATGAACATATCAAATATGTATTAGATGATAAAAGGACTGATATACTATTTAGTTATGCTAAATTAAATAGAAATCCTCTTTTGGCAAGGAATATGTATGTTGAGCTATACCCGATTCGTCATATTCCGAACATCCAAATGTTTAGACGATTAGAAAGAAATTTGAGGGACTATGATGCATTTGACAGAAAGAAAACAAGAAAATGTGTGGCTACTGGAAGTGTGAGGAATCAAATGAATGTTATGGGTAAGGAAATATTACCACATGAAAACATCTTTTGTTTTTAATTTAAGATTGGCCGGTTCCCATTTAATCGTCTTCGTGTCTGTTATGGTTTAGAATATAGCAATGTTACATGACAAAAGAAACGGTCTTATATGAGTGTTTTGTAGATGTTAGTGTTATTTTTCAATGTGGGGGTGTACTTGGTAAATAGTCTGTTTCAAACGTATTTTGTCAAAGATATGATGAATCATGACTGGGTTGGAATTGCTGTTTACTGCAATTTGTTTTCTCAAATTCGATTCGTTATTCAAATTCTTTGTGGACATGGGGATCATTAGCAGCTTACCATAATCCACAGACTCATCAGTATCCCCATGTCGACAAATAATTTCAATAAGTAAATAATTTTGACATAACAAATTGCAGTAAACAATAATTTCAACAGACAATCAACCAAGTATATTTTAACATTAGAAATAACTCTAGCACCAACAAAACACCCACATATACAGGAAAATTATCAGATCATTAGAAATGAAAAGACTATAAAAAAGAGCATATTAGACTGGTAACTTCTTGAGTACATATGTAGTGGACAAAGATAACGAATCAGGGGTCTATAAACTAACAAGTTTATATAGGACCATATTGATCTATATTAAAATACTTAATTGGATAAGGATTAATCTGTATCTGCTGCATTGCTTAAAATCGCTTCATTATTAAGCCATTATTTCTCGAGGATAAAAAAATGGTTATTATGAGTTATCCCTAAGGTGTACAATACTGTTACACATTTTTTATCTAATTCGTAAGGTTCAGCCAGCGGCAGCGTATGAAATGTAAGCGCAAAAAATGTATTCATTTACAACATCACATTGGAAACCTTTAAAATTATCAGTGTTTCTACACTATATCATACATGCTATATACATACAAACCTTCCTTTCGAATCACTCTGTATTATAAAAAACCCGCATCAAAATCCGTTGCGTAGTTTTAAAGATCTGAGCATAAATAGGAACAGACAGCGGAAAGCGACTTCGTTTTATACTATGTGGTGAAGAAAATTAAAAAATGGGAATATCCGCAAATTAAAGAAGTTTTGAGGTAAAGAAAACTAAACGAAACACCAAACACGGAATAAAAATGACATTCTTTCATATAACACAGTAATGACAATAAGTTTTGTCATTACTTACTGTGTTATATAAAAGACATTATAGAATACTTCAATGTATCAGTCTAATAGATGAAGTTGCCGTGTAGCGAAACGCCTTTTGAATGAAATTTATTGTGAGAATTCTGTAATTATCCTTCAGTGTTATCAATATTCATCAAGTAACGGATCAGAGTATTCATAATTCAAGGTATCTTATTCTTCAAAATGAAATATTTCATGTCAAAAATTGATATGCCCTAACTCTGGCATGAAACTTTCGAATAATTTTTTTTCACTATTAAATTTTTGAAAATTTTTTTAGGCATACTTTTAGTTGAAGAAAATTATGATTTTTTTAGAGAACCGATCCTTTGTTATCTATAAATATTATTGGTTTTGGAACACAAGCTCCTACTGAATTTTCGGAGAGTCATGTGATACATTATAAACTCACGGCATGTATTTAAGAAATTTCTCCGTGTATGTTCCCGGGTGTGTTTTTCCAGTACTTTTATAGACTCATTTTCTGATCTGGTTCCATGCCCTCACAGCTAGTTCAAAGCCTAGATATGGAGTTGAAGATCCGTGTCTGTCATACTCATCAGCTCTTTCGTTACAGCGAGTTCTGAGTGTCGTGGCATTCAGTATACAGGGCTTTTCATGATGAGCGTTAATTAGCCGTTTCTGACGAACTATTCAACGAATCAACCTGAAAATTCCACAGTATGCATAAATCAATATGACCTACACGCCTAAAATATTTCAGACGAAGCGGCGTTGTCGCTTCTACTATAAAGTTTCTTTGATTTTTCAAATGGAACACCCCGTATATAATATCATATTATGATTCATTATCACTTTGTCAACAAATTCATGTACTATTTCCCTATACCTATCTATTACCGTTTAGAAGATATAAATTAATTTCGATATTTTTTTT